ATTACACATGAGAAATGTTATAGCACCCCCAAAACACCTATCCGAGGGATGACACTAGTTTGATTTCGAATTATCCAAGCATTGCTCATTTTTATAATTTACAAGATAATATATAAATTTTATCAAAACAGTAAAACCTTTCAAAATTTTTATTCATTTATTTATTATTTTAGAAACATTACTTTCAAAAAAAAATTTTGAAAATTTTTTTGAAAAACATATTCTTAAAAAAAAAATCTGTGTAGAAGTAATTTTTTTGTTTCATTTTTTTAAAAAAATAATAAAATAAAATTAAAAAAATGGATTAGAAATAAAATAAAATAAAATAAAATCAAAAATAAAAATAAAAAAAGAAAACCTACGATCGAGTCAAGTGAGGATATAGGTCGGCATACAGGTCTTCGAGTTAACGCGTAGATCCTATGAGGCCAAAACGACGTCATATAAAGGCAGTATATAACTCACCTTTCAGTATTTTTTTCCTTAGAACTCCAGAGCCTTTCTCTCTCTACATCCCAAAACCTCTGACCTCTCTCTAGAAATTCATTAGAAAGTTCAATCGAAAACTGAAAATCCCACCGGTTTCTGAAAATTTTCGTTAAAAAATTCAACTGAAAATTAGAAAATCAACCAGTTTTTGGAAAACTTGCCTGATTTTAGAAATCTTGCAGGAATCTCACCGAAAACTTCAACCTTCATCGGAAAATTCCATCGCAAAATTCAAAATTCTTCAAAAAACCCAAAAAAACCCAAAAAAATTTGAAAAAAATCCAAAAAAATTCCTAGATCATCCTAAGAGTTCTCTAAATCTTCTACAATCCTAAATTCACCTCTAAAAACTTGAATTCACTCCCAGAACTACAAATTAACTTTAAAATCCCAAGATTAAATTCCATAACCCTTTCTGCTTGAGAATTTCTCAAACCTACTTTCAGTGATTTTTACTTTGTTTTTTTGTATGTCTTTGTTCTATAAAATAGGTTCAATTTATAGGTAGCCTAGGATCAATTCAGGAAACGGACAGAATTAATCCCAAGCTTAATTCTTGGGATTGTATTTTGTCCAGACGAGATTTTAAGTCTAAAATTTCAACAATATTAATTTGATTCTGTGTTGACCCAAAAATATTGTGATCTTGATCTTCATTCACGTGCAGGTTGAGCAAAAAAAGAAATGAAATAATAATAATAATAATAATAATAATAATAATAATAATAATAATAATAATAATAATAATAAAAGTATCTAATTGGACCAAAACGGTCCATAATGGATCTGACCAAAATGGTGTATAGTTGGGCTTGATCAAAATGGATCTAGTTGGGCTTGGACCAAATGGGCCCAATTGAGCCCGAACTAAAATGAGTCCATTTAGGTTCGAACCAAAATGAACCCAATTAGGCCCGAATCAAAATGAGTATCTACACCTAATAAAATAAATCAATAGAGCCTAATTGTGTTTTTCACCTAATTATTTTTTTCACCTAACTAAACACATGGCTCACAATACATTAGCTACAAGGAAATCATGATAATGTTAACGTGCAAATCAATTAAATCAAGTAAAGCTTGGGAGCGGTGATCCGCCACTACGCACCTCAATTCTTCACTTTATTTCACCTTTATCATGACTTTTTGAGATATGTATAATTGCATATATATCTTCAAAATATATTCAAACAGAATTTACATTTTCTTTTCTTTTCTTCTCTTATTATTAATTAATTAGTTGCTCTAATTTGCTTCACATGATTAATTCAATTGGCACGCAAGTGTGTATATTCTTCACCTTATATATTGATTTAGAGATAATCTTTTAGATTTTTTAAAAGATAGAGTTAAAGGCAACTCCAGTCAAGCATACAGATTAACAAAAATTTGTTCTTTCGGTGCATGAAGTGGATAGCGATTACTTGCTAATGGGTCTTTGATAAACATGTCCATGGGCCGGACCTTCACAAAAATTTCCAAAACCCGATTTCAACACAGTTCGGCACGTTATTTGATAAATAAAAATGTTTTTATTTTATTTTAATTTTAAAATATTAACATAAGAACATAAAATTAATTTTAATATTTTTGAATAGTATCAAGCTTATTCGGGTTGAGTCGGAGCTTAAGTAAGATTTTCAAAGAGTCAACTAAATCTAATTAGGTCTAGCCAATCAACATCTCTAATTTTTAATTATATAAAAAATTAATAATTTATCCTATCTAATATATTTCATCCTGCCCGGGGTTGCTATTCAAAAAGAAATTTCGAATTTTAACAATTAAAGAGTTTCATTTGAAATAAATCAAATAAAAAAATTTACCATCACAAGTAGGATAGCTTGTATCAAAATTTACCAAAAGTTGGTTGATTTGATTTCCTTGTGGTTATAATCTTATGCATTATTCAGCTTTATAGGCAGCAGCTGCAGCATCAGCACCCACACAAAAATGGCAAATCCAAGTTATATACAATTTAAGTGAACCCCAACGATTGGCTTCATCACCCCAAATAATTGGCTGCTTCATATGATAATGGTATTCAAGTAGCCTTCCATTTTAATGGCCCAAATAAAAGCTAATTAAAATTTTTTTCATAGTCATTAAAAAGGAACAATAAATAAATATAATAAATATAAAAGAAATTACAGGTTTATTTAATGTAATTAGATAAATAAGTGGGTTAATAGCACTTGAACTGATTGATTAGAAACGAATTGTGTGCATAATAATGGGTCTTGTAACCCTCACAAAGATACTTTTGAACCTCCAAAACTTTTTAATAGCTAGTAAGATATTTCTTCTATGAGCAAGACACTGATATTTTTAGATATTTAAAACATAAATTAAAGAAGGTCTCTTGGTTAAGCAGTTATTACTTGCAAATTAACGATGAAATAATGATTTTTGAGAACTAATTATTAATTAGGAATTAACTTCACCTTTGTTTTATTTCTTTTTTGATGGCAATGCTTATAACATTGTAAGATACATTTTATATCCGTATGAATCATGCTATACCGTCCCAAAATATTCGGGATGAAATTATGTCATACAACGGGAAAGAGTAATTTTGTGTCAACTTTCGGGCAAAATTCTTATGAGAGTTATTAAATCGAATTCGACTTGATTTTTTTAGATCAATTTAATTAATAGCATTTCTCACGTGTGAATATGAGTAATACGTATTCAAGTAAAAGATTAAATTTATGATATGCGATTATTATTTTATTTTATTATTATTCGAGAATTGAAATTGTTCAGATCACTCAAATTTAAAATTGAATTTAAAAAAGTTGAATTTTTATCTCATTCAAGTTAAATTATTACTTATTACCAATTTTACCGGGAATGAAGCATAGCAAGAAAAGAAAGAGATAAAGAAATAGAAGAATAGAAAAGAAATGAACTAAAGCAAGGAAACAAAGGGTGGGATAGAGCCGCGGATTTCATGGGTTCCAGGCTTGTACTCCAATCATCTCATTATATACAGAATCGTTGAGGCCAAATAACAGGCTTTTCTATGCTTTGCTTTGCTTTCTCATCCCCATCTCTAAGCATGTACCACACTTCTATTTGCACTATTTTTTCTTGTAAAAGACGCGTGAAAGGATTTTTTTTTTTTTTTTTTTTATAAAAGAAGCCACAGTTCGAGAGTAGAAGAATGGTTGCAGATGTTAGAGTTCGATTCTCAAACAAACTGAATACCATTTTTAAGATAATAACTAAATGAATCAATTAAAATTTTAAGATAATAACTAAATGAATCAATTAAATTAAATTTTAACTTTATATATGATAAATATTTTCCTCACATATCTCACTCGAAAAAGTTAACCAACCCATAAAATTCTTAATTTTACATTTCTTCTTCTCAATTGTTGAAAAACATTGTCCTAGATTGTTCTCAAGATAAATCTCAACCGCGCATTTGAACTTAATACTTTAGTTTAATGGTTTCAAATTCGTGAAACAAAAGTGATAAGAATAATGAAACGGTAAAGAGTTGCCTATTATGATCATATATAGTAGTAAAATCTAACGAATTGTCATATCTTTACATACAAAAAAATGTAATGGTAATTCTTTTTAGATTTGATAATTTATATATTCGTATTTATTTATCTTATATTTAATATGTATAAAATATAAAAATTATCGTATCATAATTTATATTAATATTTCAAATATAATATATATAATTTTGGTTTTTACTAAATTCATAAACAATTTGTGTTAAAATTTTTAATTTTATTTTATGCTGTGCCACTGAATTATATTTAAAATTATTATGTCTATTTTTATTAATTACCGAGTCTTAATGTATAAATTAACAATCAAACAATATATATATATATATATATATATATATATATACATAGATCATACTAATAATTGGGATCTGATAACATATTGAGAGAAAGGCAAGTGGGTGTGATTGGTATAATCAAGTTTATAGTGCAAGGACAGGGAGCAAAAGAGGGGGGGGGGGGGGTCGGAAGCATGCTTATATCGAGCAACCAAGCATTTGGATGGGGGAAATTGTTGCTGTAGTTGATGTATGTTTTGTTGTTGATTTCTATATCGTGAAGTGCGTTGGCAAAGTGTGAGAAAGAGAGTGTGAAACGGAGTTTACGTTGACAACCTTCTCAACTGTTTTCCTCTCCATTTCTTCTAATTTTGCATCATTTCAGTTACATTTTGGTTTGTTTTTGGCCCTTTTCTCTTCTTTCTTTGTCTCCAATTCCTCTCTCTTTCACCCAATCTTTTTCCAACTAAGCCTATAAATATAAAATTACACTTCCATTAACTATTCAAAATCTTGTATGATCAATATAAAATCTTGCCCTATTTACTCTTACTGTTCCATTGGATCTCTCTTTTGACTCAAAAATTGACCCCAAAGGCCAAAACCACCTTCCTTTTCTCTCTCTATTTTCTTTTTTATCATATCATTCACTATATATTGAAGCCCACTTCCTCTCCTTTGCTCCCTCCCTATCCTCCTGACTCTCTTTCTCTCAAAATATTTCTGTTTCTTTTTTTTTTTTTTTGGTGGTGTTGGGGGAAGATGGAAGCTCCGGAGGAAGTCGCAATGGGGTCTAAAGATCATAGCAATATCGTTAAAGGGAAGCGAACCAAGCGTTTAAGGCCTCAATCTCCAATCCCTTTTGCCATAACTTCCAATAATTCAATACACAATGGAGATGGAGGCGAATTCGATGGGATTCCAAATGTGGAGGACATGAATCATACTCAATATTTATCAACTTCTTCTTCTTTTTCTTCTGAATACCATAGCACTGAGGAAGAAGAAGACATGGCCAACTGCTTGATCCTCCTGGCGCAAGGCCAATCAAGAGAATCAGCGAAATTACAGCCTGATGATCATCACAAGTTCACTAGCAGAAGGTTCATGGAAGCAGCTTCAAACGGGACAGGCAAGGCCGGATACTATGTCTACGAGTGCAAAACGTGTAACAGAACATTCCCATCATTCCAAGCCCTTGGTGGTCATAGGGCTAGTCATAAGAAGCCTAAGGCTGCGTCTGCGGCAGCCATGGTTGAGGAGAAAATAAGGCAATTCACAGCAGCAGCAGCAGCGGCTGCATCAGATGAAGAAGAAGGAAAATTCATCAAGACTAACAACATTTCTTCTCTTTCTCTTGAATTGAGTAATCATAATAATAACAATAGAGGTTTGTATGGCAATAACAACAAGGCCAAGGTTCATGAATGTTCCGTTTGTGGGGCTGAGTTTACCTCTGGACAAGCCTTGGGAGGGCATATGAGAAGGCATAGAGGGCCAATAGGTACTACTGCTAATACAGCCTTGTCATTGACAGTACCAATGGCAACGGAATCTCAGGAACCTCAGAAACCAAGAAATGTTTTGTCTTTAGACTTGGATCTCAATCTTCCTGCCCCGGAAGACGATCACCATCACCAGGAATCTAAACTCCCCTTGGCTCCCAAGCAACAGCAGCAGCAGCAAAAACAACAATCTCGTCTTGTCTTCACCGCCCCCACTTTGGTGGATTGTCATTACTAAAACAAGGTTAAAGATTTATTTTTACTTTTTGTTTTTTTATATTTATACCCTCATTTACATTATATCATCCAAAGCTGAATTCGGTTTATTTTTATTCTTTTTATTTCTCTTATTTTTTCAACATTTATAAGATTATTTTAATTCCTTTTTTTTATTTGATGAAATATGAAACTTGAATTCTTTGATGAAAAGCAATGAATAATGCGTTATTGAAAGGCATCTAAATTGTTCATGTAAAGTTTCATGATGGGTATCTTTTTCTTCTCTTTTTCAATTTGGTTTTTGTTCTTTTTCAGTGGGAGGGAATGTGTTAAACACTTGAGAGAGAGAGAGTTTAGGCTTGGATTTGTCACCACCACAACCAAATTAATAAAAGCCTGTGGCTTAGGTTTCATTGTTTTCATTTACAACAATACCTCTCTCTCTCTCTCTCTCTCTCTCTTCTCTCTCTCTCTCTCTCTCTCTCTCTCTCTCTCTCTCTCATGTTGGTGGTGACAAAAATAGACCGAAAGTGGGAAAAAAGCCAGTAAGGAACTGCACTTCTCATATGAATCCACCTCTTGTCCTTTGTTTCTCTTTCTATAACAATAACATATTATGCTTCTAAAATATGCTACTACTTAAACTATTTTTGTTCTTTTCTTTGCTTCTTCCACCTCTTTTTGTTAGTTACTAGCATACTCAACTAATCACCCCTTGGGGAACTCATCCACTGCTTCTTGACCCACTGATCCTACAATGCACCTCTCTAATTTGGATATTCTGATTAACTTTTTGATTCAATCCTTTTGCATTCACTATAATTTTAAGTTACCATCAGCACATTGATCTTAATGAATCTAGCTAGTGGTTTAGGTTCAAAATTTATTATATAAAAGTCAGTTATATAGTAGATCTTTTTTTGATACAATCAATTTTTCTAACTTATATGTACACATATCAGTAACATTCATACATAAAGATCTAAAAAGTAACATTCTTTGGCCCGTACGATAAATTTCATCTCGTCTATCTCAAGATTTTAATTCGAAATGTCTAACATCCAGAGTGACGTCTTAAATTCTAATCTTTGTAGTGTCACTATAGAGACTTCAAATACTGGCTTATATCTAATACTAATGTCTATCAATTAAATGTATGGATCTCAAAGAGCCTAATTTGGTTTGGTAGTTTTGGAAGTGCTTTACAAGTTAGATCTTTGGTAAACGAGGGCTATAAGTTAATAAAAACTTGTGGTGTGAGCTTGAATGTCAGTACAAAGTTGGCGATAATATCCAATTAAGGTTTAAATACTGAAGAAGACAAATAGCCATGTAGTCCTTGTATTATGGCTTTTTTTAAGCACCATTGGCTGTTCTTAAGTGAGGGTTTGGTGTCTGTCTATTTCACAAACAAGAAAGAGAGAGGGATGCAATAATTTGTGAGGCTGCTATTGACTGTGCCAAGTTGAGCAGATGAGCTAATTTAGGAGTTGAGTCAATTCTTTTTTGCTAAGTAAAAGATGCAAGTTGTGAGGTTAGAAAATAATGTGCTAAGCTATTTAGCTATAGGTGTTTTAGAATATGGTCAATTCATGTTTAATTCTAATATAATTAGGGAAATATTTGATTTTAACAAATTCTTTAGAGATTTAGAAATATATTCGGCTAAATATATTTGGATCTCAATTAATTTAATTAGCTTTTCATCTACTGTCCTAAGGTCTAGTAAATTAATGAGTAAACGAGATTATTCATGACAACCTCAATTACCAAAATATGTCAGCAAATTAATTGGAGAAAAAAAAAAAAGAGAGAGAGATCACATGCATAGGTTATCTATTTTTGTCATATATATATATATATATATATATATATATAAAGAATAACATTATTTTCTATATAAAATCATAAAATTTCAAGATATTACATATACGATCAATAATCGCTAATTAAGAACTTTTCATGCATTATGGATATATCAGTAATCCTTATGTGCCTAGCACATGAATATTAATGGATGAAGGGACTTTTGGCCTATACATGTTACAAATTAACCACCAAATCACTCATGGCATAGCAAAGAGTGTCAATAGTTTATGGCTCTTATTAAAAGATGATGAGAGTGAAGGTTGGCATGAAACACTTGGAATTAGGTTAAGTACCAGCATTAATTTGGGAGAAAGCAGCTGGTAGGAGGTGTGACCTGGCTTCATCTATAGTTGTTCAATCTTCAGTGATATACTCAGTTGGGTTAAAAGACGATGCAACCTTCCAACCAGAAATTAAAAGTTTGCCTTTCATCAGGGCATCTATTGTTTGCCATGACTCGTGAGCATGTTTATTTTTTTTTCCTATAAATTTCACGTGCCAATGCTCAATACTGTATAGAGGTTTGAGGGAATTCATTTTTCATAAGGAAAAAATATGTTTCTTGGAAACCTAAAATGAGAGGGATTGCATGGATGATGATGAATAATAATGTTGGAATCTCACGAATTTTGGGTGGAAGATATAAAGTTGGAAACGAAAAGAGAGCAAACAGTAATCAAGAGATTCAAGATATCGATCTCTTGTTTTAAGAGCAAAGATTTGGTCTAATTGATACTTTTTAAAGAAAAAAAATCAAAATATAAAAAAAGAATCACAGATATTAGAATTTAAATTTCATATCTATTGGGTGTCACCTTCTTATGGTGATTACATAAACCAATTATATTAAACCCAAAATTTAATTACTATCCTCTTTAAAAAAGTTGGTACTTAAAATTTATATTCACCTATTTTTACTATTAGACTATCTCATATGTAAGAAAAAAATCACCTACAATGAGGAAAAGTATTAGCGATGGAATTTTCCATCGGTAATTAGCATTATCAAAGAATTTTTCATTGCTAATGGTTCATCGGAAAACATAATGTCAATAAAACATTCCATCAGTATTAAGTATTCCGTCAGTAATGGGTAGATAACTACTAAAGTATATACTTGGTTGGTAATTAATTTCTCCCAAAAAATAAATAAATCTAAAATTCCATCACTAATGATTATATCGATGAAAATTACATAACTGTAAATAATATTTTGTATTTTTTCTTATTTATTTTCTGTTGCTAATGGGTAATAGCAACCTAATTTCTATTCGTAAAGGTAATTTTTTTTGTAAGTTTTATTTATTTTTCGTCTATGAAAATTAATAGCTACAAAAGTTCTGTTGCAAAAGGAATTTTTTATTTGGATTTTAGGTAATTATTCTACTTAATTTTTGCTGCTAAAAGGGAATAGTGATGAAAATTGCATCACTAAAAGGTAGTTTTTATGTTGAAATATGGTTTTTTATTTAATTTCCTATCGCTATAAATAATTATTGACAAAAGTTTCATTGCTAAAGGTAATTTTTTATTTACTTTTGTCAGTGATATATATTAGTGACAAAAATTTTGTCACTAAAAATTAAAATTTTGTAATTTTTCTATTTATTTTCCATTGTTAAAAAGTAATAGAGAAAGAAATTTCGTCATTAAAACTATTAATTCCATCAATAATTCCTATTTATTATGCCATTTATTTGGAATATCAATCCCCTTTGATTTGAATGAAGATTGATCCATGTTCATATAAAATCAATCCTTCCATTGAAGGATCGATCATTATCAATTTTAATCCAATTTTTCAATTACAAATCATATAAAAATCATTTATATAAATCTTAATACAATTATATAATAGTAGAATTTAACATTCAATTCAATTCTATAAAATAAATCACTAAGCATTCTTAAACCTCAATAAACATTCGAAAACATCCATAAACATCCAAAAAGTTCATAAACAACCACAAATATTAAGCATCTGTAATCATCATCATCATCATCATCGTCATCATCATTATCATCATTAATTAAATGCAACAAGAAACAAAGAAAGAAAGAGATCATCTCTTACTAAGCACTTCCTTTTGGTCTTTGTTGTCCACCACCACCTTGTTGAGAAGATCCAGATGTAGGAAAGGAACCACTTTTGACAATCTAATTGAGCCTAAGCAAAACCATCTTCATTTCATCTTATGATTGCCTCATTTCCTGGATTTAGTCTTGCACATCTAGAATCTTTCTTTTTAAATCATCAACTTCGATGAGTGAACTAGCATTATGAATGAAGTTAGGACCACAAGCTAAGTAAGGTGAGTTACCACATGAGGAGAACATTTACCAAATACACTCACTGCATGTAGCCTAGTTCCAAATCCATAAACATGGGTACGTATGGTTTGCTTCCTTCCACTAACTTGACACCAAGCTTAACGATCAAACTCAAGATAAATAGATACATCATCACCATACTTCTAATTCATGTAAGAAGTATAGTTTTCCTACAAGTGAATGCACTCACCTTGCTTAAAATAAAACATAGCAAAAAAAACCATAGTAATAATGAAAATATAAAAATAAAGCATACATAAAGTAATTTTCACTTACGCTAATAGCTTTTGACTTGTTGTCCACAAAATCATTGTGTCCCCTTAAACATTTATGGGTGTGATCGAAAAGTTCCTTATATGTGGGTCGTCGTTTAATCTCTTGTGACTACATTCAATAAAAAAAAGTTATTGTTATGGTTTAAAACTCTAAATGATAAAAAAAAAACATAGAATTATTGTAAATTTTAACAATTTAAGAGATATTAACTTATGTGCATGAATCCAAAAAGATGCTATGTGTGTTTTATGATGTTTCTTGTTTCCCTATTAGCCGATTTTTTTGTTGCTTTATTGGATTGGCACTATTGTGCTTATGTGCTCCATTCTTTTTCAATGAGTTGATCCCACACTTTAAAGCTAATATATTTTGATTGATTGTAGCCTTTACATTTAGTTATTTTGTTAGTGCAAAAAAAATGTCATTTCTTTTTTACTTTCTGATTGCACCATGTCTTTAAATCGTGATTATATATATACACAAACGGTGTATATTCTAGGGACCATATGCATTTTTTATAAAAATAAATAAAAATTGTTAACA